GACTCTGATATCATTATGTTCTATTGATGTGTTTGCATTACAGTAGAATCTATGGTCATAACCATAATTTATTCCATAAGTTTGGCTGCAAACCAATTTAGTCATGATCCAAACCTAATTTTAGAAATTTTGCACTTCCAAAAAAATGGCGTAGAAGGGGAAATCGGCCATGAAAAAAAGTGTGATTTTTTTTGGTCAGAACCCAATTTGGTCATGGTCAGAAGCGTTTCTGATCAGAAGTTCTATTGTATATTGAATTCCAATATGCCATGGTCACTTTCACTCAAGGTTTCTGCAATTTCAACTCCATCTTCTCTGTTCATGAGAATCTCATAAATATCTAATTACCTGCCAATCTGCCTTTAATTTGATTCATAAAGGTTTGACATAAGTATGAATCACAAACTGACAGATAGAATACAGATAGAATTAATAGAATCATTTTTTTTAAACCGTCAGCATACACATAACCTTATATTTGAGTCAAAATGTGGATTGGGGTGGATAATTTCTTATTTCTTCTTCTGCAATAATCATTGCTACATTTCCTCCATATAAGAATGATTACTATATTCTTGGAAGTATGTGGAAGAATGAGGTTTTTTAAAAGAAATTACAGAAAAATAACCAGATTTTTAGACACCACAGAATAATATCATAGGAAACTTATAAAAAGCAATCCATATATGATTTGTTGTATAGTGATTATGCATAGGTTGTAAATGGTATGCTTACTAACCCTAAAAAACTACTATTTTCCATTTCATACTCTCAGACTAATCTGAGATCAGATTTGCTCATTAGAGGGGTATACCTTGAACAATTTATAATGTTCAGCTTACTTCTAGACAGTTGCCGGTGCAATGTTATTTCACATGGTCCAATATAGCACTCAGATGCAGAAAAGGATTTAAAAAATCATTTTCCATCATTGGGTTAAAAAAAAGAGAGAGCCCTTATTTCTAAAGAAAAATGCCTGTATGAAATATCTCATTTTCTCTCTGATTACATTAAGTTGATATGCAATGATTCCCATGTGCCTTCAAGGATAAATCTGTAAAATGTAATTTTATATTGAATCAGTGCTGGTATAAACTGTAAGATTTCGGGTAAAACTATTATATAATAGTTTTCATTTCTTTCAATTATGTGATGCTGTGAATTTCACTGGCAGGTGGCATCAATCTGGCTTAAAAAAAAGTTTTAATCTATTAATGCCTGATGGAACAAACCTGTGAAAATATCTCCGGTGTTCCACTTTTTTTACATTGTATAAGAAACCTGTAATTTTACATGCCAGGGAAGACATCATCTCAAATTGAATGCCTATTCAAATTTATAGAACATCATTTTAAATGTACTTTTCTTTTCTGAACAAAAAAGAACCAGATATATGAAGACACACATGAGTTCTGATCCAACTTTACAACAATGTGCTACTATAGTGCAGTTATTCTTTGTCTCTTCAAAAAGAAGAAGATGCTTATCCCTGTGAGATCTGTCAAATTCAGGATATAAAAATCTTTCACATAGAACAATGTTTGATAGAAAAAGAAAAGATACCTCTACATCAAAATGTGAATATTTAAAATAAGATATTTTTCATATTATTTGAATGCCTTAATGTCTTGCATCCCATTACATCTCATAAACATAAATAGAACCAACTTTTCTAAATTTATTGCTTAAATTTCACTGGACAATATGCTCAAAAATGACTAAGGGAAAATGCTTTACCTAGATTTTGACTACATTTCAGTACATTGCAAATAATTACACTCAAAATAGAATAATACACAGATTTATCTGAAAATAACTCAAACGAACTCACAGAATAGATATTGTAGAACTGAGTATAACTACAATCATATATTATGTACCAATTAAACTCTTGCTTTTTTTTCTTCTCATGTGGTTCCACAGCAAGACATTGTCCCTAGTATCCAAACATTTAATCATGTGACAATACAAACCACTTCATTTGGTTGAAAAACAATTAAGAAACTATTTTCAGCCAACTCTCTGTCCCTATATAAATCTCTCAAAGGCTCCCTATTAGATTCAGCATTTTAACCATAATTGTTGGTGAATTTTCCTTATTGCATCACTATTCGTTAATTTAAAATCTTCATATGACTCACCTAATAATAATATTAATTATTCATCAAGCCTGCATTACACCTAACACCCAATGACTCTGGGTAGCTTACAGTCATTAAAGAATCTGCAATAAAATCAACCAAAGATAAAAGATGGCAGACATGGCAGGCAGATGGAATGAAGCAAGTGGTCTCATATGTCTTTGTCAAATGTCTAGGTGAAGAGCCAGATCTTCATGACTCTTCCAAAAAACAGCAGAATCAGAACCATCTAAATCCTGGGACAACCATCTTCCAGAGGGCAGGGGTTGATACACAGAATGTGCACTTCAAGGGTCTTGATAGATGACATTGTTTAATCGGAAACACAATATGCACAAACCATGCAGAATTGAACTGGCCAGGCAGATAGTAGGGAGATAAGCAGTCCGTCAAGTAACTAGGCCTAAGCCATGTCAGCAAGCACCAGTGTAAATTGTACCCTGAAGCAAACTGGCAAGCAAAACAGCTTGCACAGGAACATATGTCATACATACTGAGGCATATCTATTGCTGCTCATGCCACTGCATTCTGAACCAATTGAAGCTTCAAGGGCAATCCCACATAGAACATGTTTGCAGTAGACATTTATATGGTAATGTTATTTCTGGATATTTAGCTTATAATTCTAATTTTAAAAGAAATGATCTTTTCTGACAGAAGAATGGACTTCTAGTTGGGTAAATATTCTTCCTTGTTAGAAATGTTAGTTGCTACATGCAGTCACCTCTTACTGAACTGTTCTTTTCTTTTTAACATGACTGTGCATTTGTTACAGTACATTACAAACGCATCTTTCCAATTTAGGATTTATATTCTTACTTGTTCTTCGATTGCAGGAAAGGACAGAATACCAACTACATCCCCTCTTTTATCCCCCCGTGTAATTAGTGGACCTTGAATATATTCAAAATATATGTAATTTTTTTAGGAAAAAGGAATACAATACAATTGTACAATACAATATAAAATAAGTATTTTACCTGATAAGACAACTTCAACCAGATCACCCTCTTGGATATCAGCAGCTGACTTCACCAGCTGGAGTATATTTTCAGTAGTTGGATCATGACGAAAAAGCAGGATTTTATCATACATCCCATAGAAGCCACACTCAGGAAACTGTAAATGGATAGTATTGAGATTTTATCTCAACTGTACATAATATTTAAACATTTTATTAATATTATTAGTTTTAAACCAGAAAAATCAAAAGAGATACAATAAAGCTGCAGATATAACTTCTACAGTTTTCAGATATAGAGACATTTTAGACAGCATAGTTCCTATATATTCATCATGAAAATATACTCTTAAATATATATTTTTAAAGTGAAAGGACTTTCCAAACCACATATATTGCTGATGAAATCCAGAAGTATTTTCTGGGACTACCTCAGATACATATTTGTTCTCTTACACAGGAAATCATTCAATCTCAGTAGATCATCAAGTCATTTTGATGTGGTAAAACTATGATGTATACGAAGCTGTAATATTTTGTCAGACAATAGATCCATCTGTTTCTTGGCAGCTCTTCATGATTTAAGTGGTACCAAGCCCTTCTCAATTATTTATCTTTAATATGATGGAATGCATCAAAAGTCATATAAATTTTACTTGCATAGTACAATTTCTTTCTTTTCCTCTTCTCCACCCTGAATTTTCCAGTACAGCTCAAATCTGCTGTGGTAATATTCTGGATCACACCTATAGTAGCACTGAACCATATTTCCCTTCCATGTATAATCACATCTGCAGAGCCCACCTGATTTTGGCAGGTACAAATTGCTGGAAAATAATACAGTCCTTGAAAAATGTTGTTCAATCATATATCACTGTGTTTCTTGCCAACTTAAGAATTTGTAACGTAAAATAGTTAATCATGAATAAGGGGTGCCAATTAAGGAGAGAAATACGTTTGTTGAGTAAAGACGGTTATTTGCTAATTTTGTCCCCTATTATTCTACTTTTCCTATTTCAGCTGAATAAAGTTGTGCTGACGCTCATATTTTGATGCCAAATAGACTTCCGTCTAAGAGCTGTTTTATTTTTCTAGCATCATTTTTCAAAAAATAAATGATAGGTCTTAAAGATTACGGGGATACTTCCCTATACAGACTAAAAGCATAATAATGTGCTAAGCTGGCTACTAGAGCCAGTTCTATTATGGTAATAATTGTCCTCTGGCAGAAACAGAATGAACAGATGCAAAAGGAAGAGCTTTATCTATGTGGCTTCATTTTAAATCCAGAAAGTGGTGAATGAACTTCCCATGAAAAACAGATATCTAAATGTTCATAGTATAACATATGATCTTGAATTTATCCCAAAAGATATCTGTCAAGAAACCTTTGCATCAAAACCTTTGTTTAATAAACAAATAAAAAAAATCTTCCAATTATTCTACATCGAGAATCTGGTAACGTCTAATTCTCTCACAATCTCAAATTGTTCTACATCATATAATATTAGAAAATAAATCAATGATTTTGGCATTCATAAAATTTTGTGAACTATATGAAAAATCTGAATTTCAAAAATATGACAGTCCTGTGTGATTTTTGTCATTTAATTTTTAT